TTCATCAATTGCCTAGCTTGTGAAATAGGCCATCCTTCACAAATACGACACGCTTGTTTATCTTACGGATTCTGTGATGAAACCAGTCAGATTAGCAAAATTCGTTTATACATTAATCAAGCTTTGTGCGTAACATTGCCACTTGTTATGATGCCTTTCAACGCATTCACCCAGAACTGGTCGGAAAATATTCTAGACGGTATAATCGTGTGCTGCTCCATTGTATAAATTGACCCCTGAATTGTGCTTACCCTCCTGTAAAATCATGTTATCAACACGCGAAATGGATTCCCAAATCTTTGACATCATACAGAAGCATATATAGAATAAACATTCTCTATAGCACAGTGAAATGTAGGAAACTTGGTGAGTTTTCTGCTGACCCCTAACCCTTTTCCATTTAGTTCAATTTAGTTTTCTATCATTTTCAATCATTTTTTTAAATGTCATGTATAACCATTTTATTTACTCAGTGTGAATACTTTACTGCGTATGAAAATGTATACTACATATTTCAACCTTTTTTTTAAAAAATGTTATTACTCCTAAGAATATCATTCTTATATTACTTCTAATAATATCATTCTTATATTACTCAGTGTGAATACTTAACAGCGTTTGAACATGTATACCATTTAAATTTATGATTAATTACTTCAAAAAACAACAAAACACAAAAAAATATATATATATATTTCATGTAACTGATCTTACTAGTTTTTTGTCAAAATGTATACCCTACGTATTTTAACCATTTTAAAATGTCATGTTTTTTAATGTTTATATTATTCTTTTGTGTAATAATCTTCGTTAGTTTTCAAAATGACGTGTATTTATTTCTCTGTGTGTGAGCGCCCTCTGTCGTTCGTTCAGAAAATTCTTTCGTGACGTTTTTTGGTTGTGAGCGCCCTCTACAGTTCGTTTAGTCATTAATTATGCCAATTTATTCACACGACCCCCATTGTGACGTCATTAATTATGTTCATTTATTCACACGATCCTATTGTGACGTCATCCCGGCGACACTATAGGTACGACCATGAA